AACGATAGTGAAGATTAAGATAATTACATTATAGCCAATCTTACCCGTTTTCACAGAATGCAAGAATTAGGTCCCCCGTTTCCAGACTAATTAGAGACCTGGTCCCGATTCTATTTCTGAACGTCTCCTGTTCACGTCAAGTCAAATGAACTATTTTCAATGTTTCTGGAACGAATATAATCGAACCAATATTCGAATTTTATGTTCGAATTTGTTTGAACAGATTCAAACAAAACATTCGAAATAGAAAGCCACTTTCAACCACTTTCAGCCCCATATCTCCCGCACCCTTATAGCTATCGAGACGCAACCCCCCTGGTGCACGAATGGAGACTTGGGGCTACTACCACATACAAACACCATTCACGTGCGATGTGTAGTTTTGGCAGAAAAGTGAAATATAGGGACATATATGTCCATTTTTATATATATAGATATAGATATACACAGAAATCAGAGTTGCCAATTTTGGGGTTCATTTCTCTTCCCCCAAACATCTGAAGTAATTTCAAATCTCTCATTCTAAAGAAAATTGTTTTCGTAGGTATTGTGCAAAATTTCAAGATTTTCTATAAAATGGTTCCTGAAATATAAGTGTGAATACGGGGGCGTAAGGCTCCCGCTCTATAGTCAGGATAAGAGGTCAAGCGAGTGTAAGGAGAGTTTATTGGGGTCGACGATAAGGTGAAGGGCGAGATCGAGTAAAGGAGTCTACCATTATTTTAACAAATATAAAATAACAATTTATTAAAGAATAGGCAAATGACAAAACTACACAAAGCTCTATACCGTCAGAGAGTTTCTATACCGACTTAGAGAGAGTTTCACCGTACTTTCATACCTCATATAATCGACAATTCTGAACGTGGATGCCTTTAAAATATCGATCCAAAGAATAATCCACAAATACGGCACAAATTATATAAAATCGCGACTTAAGCGATGATTTAATTTGAGGTTCATCGGAGATCGGAATTCGGCTCGATTGGAAGATCGGTGCGATGTTGTTAATCCTGCGTTCGGTAATAGACTCTCCTGAGAGGGGGTAAGAATGGCTTTTTATCCGTTTTAGTGGGGAATTTCCACCACGTGATCGGATGTACATAGGGTAAAGGTTATAGGTGTTCCAGGGATCTATAACAAATGACGACATTTAGATGCTAACTATCAACCTTTTTGCAAGATGAGATGCAAGTTCTGCAAAGAACAATAGATGTTGCTACTTAAGACCGGAAAGTTTACACAATCCTGGGCAAGATCGTTTTTTTCTACTAGGGCGTTACATAAACAAAAGTTTTGATTAATTAACAATTTTTGTTAATAAATGAGCGATAATTTCCGTCATCAAAATTCCGGATCTCACATAAGCAATTGAAAAGTTCAAAAATCACCAAAAAAGCTGTTTTCTTCTTCATCCGGCACTACAGATGCTTGTAGTGATAAAACTACTGGGCCTAAAAGCTCAAATTTTAAACTTAAGCCTTTCTTGTTGTCAGTGAGGTGATTGCAAAACTTCCAGGTCAATAAGTCAAAGTTCACAGGAATTTCCCATAGAACTAATTCAGTTTTACAGCTTAATTTTATGCTTATAAAGATAAAATTGCATCAAAACAAATGAATTTTATTTAAAATGTTACTCAGAATAACAATAGCTAAAATATATGCCAATTAAAACTTTTATAAGGATTTTTCTAAACTGCGTGTTGAAAGTATTTGTCAGCGTTGACCAAATGAATATTGAAAGCACTTGGTTGGCAGTGCATTTGTCAATGGTGTGTTGGTTGGTGATACATTCAATTGCCAGCACCAGCTGAATTGTACATTGTTGTCTTATGTCTTGAAATAATACAGTTATTAAACAAAAATATATGAGATGTAAAAAAAATTTCACAAAGTAAAAGCTTATGATAATTTAGTTTACTCCTAAAAAATTTTTGACTGGAGTAATGTAAATTATCGTCCAATTGTTCAAGGTCATTTCTGCTTGGAGAAATAATCTGCCAACTTCTTCGTTCCATACGATCTATATAATCTAGATATTTCAGATTTTCTAGCATCTCGGCTTCGTCCTAGTCGAATGTCGCCGTATTTCTTTGAAATAGATCGCTTTGCGCAAGCATGAAACCTAGAGTTATCGTCTACTCGCCGATTTTCTAGAGTTAGTGTTATTGTGTTTGACTCAAGATTCGGAGTTGGTGAATACCAATTTACCAATAACTCGAGAGTTAACCCTAACTCTAACTCACGTTGGTGAATACGGGTGTAAATGGTGTAACAATATCACATCAGAAATTCTGATCTGGGTTACTGCCACATTTGAGCATAAGCTTTACTACTACCTCACTGAGAATGGATACTAGTTTGAACATAAGTTATAACAAAAAATTTAAACCTGTAATCTATTCTCTACTGTGCTAAATTTTTGTCATTTGTATTACCCTGTAATTACTTTAACTTGATTTCATTTTATTAATCAACACTAAATTTTGACATTAATGAATTAACAGATACATTTCCTCTATTCGTGCAACAAAACCCAGCAGCTCTGCTCACATGGCATGAATTTTCCAACATTGCTTGCCTATGGATAGTTATTCATGGCACACCATGTTGAGTTTTACTTAAGTAATTTGCAAAACAACTAGCATTGTTATAAAATTTTCAAAACTGTGGCATTTGACTTAGAAAATGAAGCCATATCAATAACAATTATGAAATTTGTGTATGTATTTTTTAATCATTGCTATTTAATTTAACATTTACAAAATCTGGATTTACAAAAACAATTTCACAATAAAGCAAGTATAAATCATAATGTTTTAAGTTTATGTATTTGCAACTGCAGTTATTAGATATTTTCAATATATTGATATACAGATAATCAGTCCTTATGATTTGCAGTTAATTTTGGAATAAGTTTTTTTGTAAAAAATAATGACCTCTTTTTTTTTATCAGGTTTCTGTGATTATAAACTTCCATCAGACAGATTTCCTTCTGGTTATCCTTTTGATCCAGATGAGCAAAATTTTCCATTAGATGGTCTTCGTTTCTTAGGTTTAATTTCAATGATTGATCCCCCTCGTGCCGCTGTACCTGATGCTGTAGCTAAATGCCGAAGTGCTGGAATTAAAGTAAATTTTTTTTCTTTCTTATAAATTGGAAGATATAAGAAATTCCATAAAATTTATTGATTTTTCTCAAAGGTTATTATGGTAACTGGTGATCATCCAATTACGGCAAAAGCTATTGCAAAAGCTGTGGGCATTATCTCTGAAGGAAATGAAACTGTTGAGGATATTGCTCAAAGATTAAACATTCCAGTAGATGAAGTTAATCAAAGGTTGGCAGTTATACAGAAATATATGCAGTTTAAAGTAATAGCATTTTAATTTATATTGAATTTATAGGGATGCAAAAGCTGCAGTTGTTCATGGTGGAGAATTGAGAGAGATGACTTCAGAACAACTTGATGATGTCCTTATAAATCATACAGAGATTGTCTTTGCTCGAACTTCGCCTCAACAGAAATTAATCATTGTTGAAGGATGTCAGAGGATGGGTGCTATTGTTGCTGTAACTGGAGATGGTGTAAATGATTCACCAGCTTTGAAAAAAGCTGATATTGGCAAGTTCATTTTTTTAGATATTATTTAATTTTATTACATTAAGCTTATAATGTTCTAAATATTTTTCAGGTGTTGCTATGGGAATTGCTGGTAGTGATGTCAGTAAACAAGCTGCTGATATGATTCTCTTAGATGATAACTTTGCATCAATTGTGACGGGTGTTGAAGAAGGTTAGTGTGTTAAATTATTATAACTGCCACATTGTATTTTACTATTCTGAGATATTTAATTATTTGCAAATTTGTGTGTAAGTAACAAACACTTTCTCATACTAAAGACTACACAATTAGTTGCTAATGGCAAATTTTTTTTCATAATATATAGATTTCTTGCTGAATTCTTATGACACCTATAATTTCTTATAATATATAAGAATATATGACTTGCAAAAATTTACTGTCAATGAAGTTGTGAAGACAAAGTTTAACCAAAATGAAAAATAGAATTGGTTTTAATGCTTAATCGTTCTATGATTTAAGTTACAAAATTATATTGTAATTATCCTAAAAACAATTACATTTTTAACTACATATTTTCAAAACAAATGACGACAAATATTCAAATTAGTAATATGTATTCTGAAATTAAGTTTTAATTTTTTTTTATTATTCTTATAAATTAAAAAAATTGCAATGAAGCATTTTTTTACAATGCAATTTTGAAAACAAATTTTTATTGTAAAACTTAGTTCTACATGCATGCATTTTGCATATTTGTAATTGGATATTTGGTTACAGCTTTAATACAAATAGGGATTCCTCCTTAAAGAAAATTTACACCTCAGTTTCCTAGTTTAATTATCACAAAAGACTAGCTCTTTGAGTAACTCTTATCTATGAAGAATCTGTTTCATCATTTTAGTGCACTTAATAGCAAGATCAACAATGTTTAAATTCATTCTTAAGGATAGTTTCAAAACTTTATATTTTATAGAACATTCCTCCTCTTAAAGAATTTAAAGATGAATTAGATTATATGCCAGTTACTGGAAACTGTTGCCTTTCTTTGGAATTAATGCAAGAGATTAAATTCACATATTTTAATAATAGTATACAAGTTATAATAATTATTAATGTTCACTTTGAAATGAAAAATTAAGTTTATTTTTATGAAAATAGCAGATTGAATATATATATATCTAATATGTTAAGTTCTGGTACAACGTTTGCCTTTGTTTTTGTATCTGTGACATGCACAGCTTTTAAATTTTTATACATGTTCTGTTTGCTGTTTGAATGTTTTTCAAATTCTATGTAAGGTACTCACACCTTGACACAAAAACCTTTAAAAATGCAGCCTTTAATTCACTTTTCTAATGTTTTCGGCCAATTTGAATGGCCTTCCTCAGGAACAGAAAAATCGAATGATTCCGATTTTTATAACTACATTTCTTTTGGAACATTTTAAACTCTGACTTTTCCTAAATGTCTAGTATGCAGGCTCGTACATAAAGAATTACAAATAAACTATAAATACATGTAATACATGAATAAACAACTACATAAAATTAAATGAATAAATACAGACCCCACTTAACACGGGGATGTGATGCATTCGTAGACAACAAAGCGCTAAGCGAAACAGCAATAAATGAGGTCATTTTAACATAGAGTAAATAGGGATAGGGGAACATGCGACCAAAAATAAACAAATTTTACTTTAAGTTATATTATTATACAAATTAATATAAAAATGTTAAATAACACACAAACAGGCACACAGAAATGTAAAGTTCATTTTTTGTGAGGAAGGTCCTGACTTTTCTGAAATTCTTGTTCTTTTGCAATAAAATCATGAAGCTTCATTTGTTGCTGTTTTCTTTCCTTAAGCAAATGTTGGTAGCAGAAGATTGCATCCAAAATGCCTTGTTTTGCTTTTGCACTCCTTTCAAAACTGGATCATTCGCTACAATTTGATCAGTGATTTCGGTTATCTTACCAAACTTTTACTAAGAAAATCTGTAGAGAAATTCTTTGGGTTCTTTGTTTTCATAATCTCAATTTTCCAGTTCCACATGAATTCCATGTTCTGCTAGTTCCTGAAGGTTGTCTCACCAGAAACCTGCTGTAACTCCTCAATATCCTGCTCATTTATATCTCCTGGTCCTGCTATGTCAATTAGGTTGAGTTTAGTCAACCTAACGATACAGCAATAGGCTCTTCTTGTTGAGAATTCTTGGATACCTTCAGCCAAAACATCTTCCACACTTTGTCTGTGCATTTATCAGTTAATTCTTGCCAAGCAAAGTTGATATTTCCTATGGCATCCACAATGATATATTTTTTTCAAAATTGCATCAAACATACATAGATTTAAAGAAAGTACACCTTTTTGCCACCTTTTACTGATTGGTTTGTGTTCATAAATAATCACATTATGTATGAATCAATGAAATGCCACAATAATTTAAATCATTGTAAATTTTGAGCTTATTGTATGATTCGAGCAGACTGCATTATATTGAATTAGTGTTAAGCAGGGTCTTACTGTACGTACATAAAATAAGTAAATAAATAAATACAAATATACATTAACACAACTGCTAATATAGAGAAGGCTTGGTTGTGCCTGCTTCTTTAACTGTTCATCCATTTTTTATAGAATGTTCATATTATACCAGCTCTCTAAGCTACTGAGACTTTACTTGACACTCTGAAGTTTATTGCTAATCTTTCCTTGTTTGTCTTACATATACAGATACGTCAACAACTGATATGAAACTTTGCATGCAGATTCTATTCATATTGCTTCCTTACAAATTACATTAGTCTTCTTCAGAAACATTTATAACTGTTTTATTAGAAAACCTTTTATAATTTTCTTATAGTAAACAACAAAATTTTAAACATTTTTATTAAATTTGATGTGTGTTTTCTTTATAGAGATTTCCAGTTAATTTCTTCTTAATGTTGTTGTTGAATATTAATTAATAACAAAGCTAATTTGTATAATTTCCTATTCTATATGACTAAGAATTTCGAAGTTATAGAAAATGCTTTTTCATGTAAATCTAAAAATGAAGTATGAGATTTTTTTTTGGATTTCTACAAAGAATAAAAAAAAAATTTTAATTTGAAATTAGTGGAATAGAATTCTAGTATTGAATAATAATTAAGCAGTTACCGGGGATTGGCAAAAGTCAGACTTGAAAAAATCTAGACCCAACTCAATCAAATACTAAGTTCATGTTTAAATATGTTGGTTTCAGTTTATTGAACTTTGGTATCTATATGTTCAAACAATATAGATTTTTCAAAGTCCAAATAAAATATTTTTGTCTAGTTTATTTAACTTTAGTTTTTATTTAGGCCCATATATTGAGATGTTACTCATTTAGAAAATACAATTAACTAATTAAAAATCATATCCTGTTTTGAAAACACTTATTTGATTATAATAACCGAATTATTGTTTGCAACATTCTTTACCATAACATATCAAATGAGCATTATCTTAAACAGAAATAAATCAAACTAAATATTTAGAAACTTTAGATGCATAACATTAATAGTACTTAGTTTTTTTTCTCTCCATCCTTCTTGTCCTGTAGCACTAAGTCATTTTTCACCAAATTAACGTAACATGCATTAGGATCATTCCTCACTACCCAGCCATCCCATTGTGGGAGACTGAGTAGTGAGGGAGATGACTCAACTTATCCAGGGCAGACTACCCACAAATTCCTGAATTTAATCCTGGATGTCCAAATTTTACATAGATATAAAAATTTATACTGAATTACTATTTTAAATTTTTTAGAAATTTCATAATCATAAGATTTGGTATATTCAGATATCACTGTCATAGCAATTTTATTTTTGAATTGTATGACAAATGGAGATTGGAATCTGTTGGTCTTTAATGAACTCAAACAACTAGAACTAATGAAAATCAATGAATTTGTCTGTGTGTGTTAGTTATATTTTTCATTCTCGTTCAAATTAAAAGCTTAGGAGTGTTTAAATCCATTAATGAAATATTGCATTACTTAGGCCAGTGCCTTAACAGTTTCAGCCATCTGGTCATCAAGCTTCTGACTTTGAAACTGCCTTGTCAAATTTACAAACTTTTCATTTATTTGTCACTTTTTGCTCTGCCTTTTCTTTTAAGTCTTTATAAAATAAATAAATGAACATATTTATACATATTTTGCAACCAGTGTTGCTGGATTTGTGAAAAATCATTTGCATGCTGCTTTAGAAAATTATTAAATAATTTTATGGTTTGAGCTATTTTCAACTACAAAGTCTCAATTCAACTTAAATTTTGTGCAAGCTGCAATGTTAGTATTGTAGATATGACGACAAAATTAACAAGTAAGCTAGTTGTATTTTATCACTGATTTGTGTGGATAAAATACAAAATAGGTTATATTTACTAATAATGGTTCAACAATCAAAGACCTATGATTTCTGTTTAATGCTATTAAAATAATGAGTCTGAGTCCAAAGTTTATATAAGTTTTAAATTCAGTATTTTTCACTTTTATTTTGATAAACAGTCTGAGTACTTGGAATCAAAAATCCTAGGAAGTTATATAGATTCATAACTTAAGGTATATATTTCTATAATACCATAATTAGATGATGATTTTGTAAGTGACTTGTAACTTTATTTATATTTTAGTTTAGTTGCTTTTCTTATTGTCAGATTAATCTCTCTTAATGGAAAATACAGATTGTAGTTTAAAATAGTAATGATTTTCATATTTATAGCATAGTCAATCATTAAAATGATAAGGTTAATATTTTATGACTATTTCTCTTATTAACAGAGTATAGTATCAATTATCTGAAAATCAATTATGTAAAATATTGATTAACTGAAATTGACTTTAGAGATTACTAATTCCAGAAATTACAGAATTTTTGTAATGATTGTTGGCAGTCTTCTGTAGGCTTGATCTATTTTGTTATCAACACTAGTGTCTGGACTGTAATAAATAAAACTTAATAGAAAAGCAAGATTAATAAAGTAACAGCAGAATAGCAATAATTTCGACCACACCAACAAGAACAAGCATCAGGTTTCTAAGGAATTAGTTTTTTATGCTTTAACTTTATTATTGTACTAGGATTAAAATTAGTTTCTTGAAATAAACTATAAATATTTTTCTTTTCTCATTGTGGCCAATTATCTGAAATAGTTCTGTCCTGATTATTTCAGATAACCAATGCTCTACTGTATAATCATTTTAAGTGTGGGTCTGCTTTTTTCAAACAATAAATTATAACTGATTTGCTAACATATTGCATTTGTTCATATAATAATAGTGAGAAGTGAATTATGTTATTTATAGCTTAGTGTTTGAAGACAAACATGAAATTTAAAAAATCAGATGCTTGATAACAATTACTTTAAATAGAACTAGGATAATGTAATAGTCAATAATTTAAAAAAAAAAATTAAACTTTAGTTATATTATATATTAAAATATCAAATTTTATTTACATAGGTCGTTTGATTTTTGACAATCTGAAAAAATCTATTGCATATACTTTGACGAGCAATATACCAGAAATTACTCCATTTTTATTCTTCATCTTATGTGATATTCCACTGCCACTTGGTACTGTCACTATACTATGCATTGATTTGGGTACAGATTTGGTAAGTTTTGTTGATGTAATAATATAATTTTAAAAGATTCTTAATTATTTAAATTGTTTTTCAAAATAACTAAAGCACGAGTTTATTTTCTAAAAGTAAAACTAATGTTTTTGAAAACTAATAAACTAAAATCTAATTAATATATATATATGTATATAGAAATGTTTGGTTTTGAAGGAAAATTTATTAATATCAAGTAATTTTTCCTATTGGATTATTGTAAGTGTTTCACCTATACTGGTGTTGCATGATTGTAATGTTTGTTCTGTGGTTTACTTCCTATTCTCTCTCTCTGTCTTTCTTTCTTCCTGTATCCTGCCACACTTCAGGTACCTGCAATATCTCTGGCTTATGAACAAGCTGAATCTGATATAATGAAACGAAGGCCCCGTGATCCAACTCATGATAAACTAGTAAATGAGAGGTAAATGTTATTTTATTGACCATTTTCTGGGTTTGAAATAGTTTTTCAAATTTTAAAGAAATTTTCAATCATACTTTACCTGAACAGCTAAAACATTACAAAAAATTTGCAAAACATAATCCCAAATAGTAAGTAATGACAAAAAAATTAAAAAAATATATTTTAATATAACTTCTATTTATAAATTCTGCAAATCACCATGTTCTCTCTTATAATTACAAACTTTTAATGTATTTGTTGTTGTTTAATATTTTCAGTAACTCATTGCATTTTCTGTTTTCTAATTAACTTTCTAGCATGCCAAGTCTTATTTAATATTTCAATTGGCATGTAAATGTCATTTAGCTGTTTAAAAAAAATTCTTGTTATGCATTGATCTAGAAATTTTGTTAAGCTATTTGCATGTGGTGGGTCTCGTATTTAAATATAAATACAGAAGGTCACAAATCCTTTGAAATCAAACACTAGCTTAAGCGCTTATTATTTGCACCATCACTATCAATCCTCCCGCATCCCAACAGGTTCCTGCTATCTCACTTGCTTACGAACAAGCTGAAAGTGACATCATGAAGCGACAGCCCAGAGATCCTGTTAAAGATAAACTTGTAAATGAAAGGTAAGGATTTTTTTTAAATCTTAATTCGTGCATGAAGATTATTGATGCAGCCAGAACGATGCATGTTAATTTAAATTTGATTGAGAACAAATTATTGATTGACAACAAACAATAAGATTGACAATGCAATTTTTTTCTTATATTAATTTTTAATATTTAAAAATAATCGATTCTGGTTGTATTTTTTTTTTAATATATGGAAGAAAATTCTAATGAGAGAAAGGTATGTAATATATATTATTTGTAAAAGATGCATAGACTTTCTACCACCAAAACTGGTAAGTTTCAATTATCAGCCTTTGACTATATTATTAAGGACAAAATAAGTTAACTTATGTTTCTTTGGTAGGTATAAAATTTAAATTTCTATATTAGTAGAATAGTGTTAGTACTAGTTTCCAATAGCAGTAGATAGTAGTATGTAGTATTAATATTTTCCACCTGAAATCACCCATATCAGATAATTAATATCCAACTCTGTGACCAAAAGTGTTTAAAATCCGTTTCAGTGAAGAATTTTCTCTTTATAACAGTATCATTATTTGAAAGGATTATTCAAATTATTGAAGATTTCATAATTTAATCATGGAACTTGCTATTAAATTAAAATGAAGAAAATAAAACTAAGAGGTATGAAATTTCAATCTTGGGATTGTTAGAAGAAATTAGTCATTTTTTTTTTTTAACAAATTTGAGTCAAGAATAAATTTTATTTCAATAAAAGTACGAGATTCACAAATATCGTAGCATTTTACTGAATGTCAGATTCGTGATGCATTTTTTTTAATTTATATTGTAGTTTATTTATTAATTTCAATAAATTACAAATAAGTTTTTAAACTAATACAATTAGATTTAATTATTCAAGTATACGGCATTATTTCAGAATTACTTTTTAAATTAGAGGATCTCAAAATTTAAGAATTTTGAATTTCTTTCATGTTATGTATTCTCCATGATTAAAGTTAATTTTATTTATAGCATTCTATAATTTTTGTGTTAAATTAGAATAATGAAAATTAGAGTAGCTAAAATTGTTTGAGTAGCCATTGTTTATATAAAAATTGTCACTGAGAAGTTTTGTTTAAATTATAATAGTAAACTTTTATTTTCTAGTTTTGTTTATTTATAACACTTACAAAATATGAAAGAAAATACAGTGGTGCCTCGTATAACGTACGCCTCGAATAACGGACGCTGCGAACAACGAACTTTCTGTTTGGCCGTTACGTGACTCCAGCAACGGACTGGCTTCGAACAACGGACTTTCTGCGAACAAGTGCGAATGATATTTCCACTCGTTTGCTGTTGCCAATGACAATCTGCTATTTTTATAATATATTAGTATTATTAGAATATATTATTAGTATATTAGAAGTACAGAGCTCCCGCTGGGATTCGGCTTGCTCTCTTGTTTATTACGTACAGTGCATCACCTCAGTGAAGGGGTGTATTTACATTTATTCAAGTGTTGTGCAAATCATAGCTTCTAAAAAAACATAAAGGTGATTTCAATTGAAACAAAGCAAGAAATCATCAGAAGGAGTGAAAGTTGACAAAAATTTCCTTGTCAAATGGGGAGAGGTTAAGGAGTTTACCAACACTCGTTATCCAAACAGAGCTGAGGCCAACAGGATCAATGATCTCTACAATGACATCCTTGCCGTCATTTCCGACAAGTATTGAAGAGAGAGAAACAGACCACCTTGGACATGTTTTTCAAGAAGCCAGCTGTCAAAAAACAAAGGATGTGGAACAAGAGGAGTTGACCCTGCAAGCTCCAGTAGCCTCTTCTAAATCTGACTCCCGATTAAAAAACAATAAAAAGAGACCTGCTGCAATGTGTAAAAAGTCTGTATTTGTATGAATGCGTGAAGAAAGTGTTCCTCCACCTCCTCACAACATCTAACTACCTGGCATAATTGGTGACTGCTCCATTTTCATTTTTTATTGTACGGTTATTTTATGCTGCGGAACGAATTATATGTTTTAACATGTAATTCAATGGGAAAATGCGTTTCGTATAACGGACTTTTCACTTAACGGACGTGCACCTGGAACGGATTAAGTACATTATACGAGGCACCACTGTACAAAATTATAACTTCAAATTCAAAATTCAGTTTGAGAACTTCTGATGCCAGATTATGAAAATTAATCTTAAATTTGTTTCAGTTGAATTTTTTTATAATAAAAATAGAGTAACAATAAACATACTATATACAAAAATGCTTAATTCAGAGGGCCAAATATTTTATTTGAGGAAATGTTTTCATTTTATATCATCAGCTTACACAATTGTTCTTTATTTGAATGTATATATAAGCAGATAATCTGCACTAAGGATAAAAATATTTCCTCAAATAAAATACTTGGCTCTGAATTAAGCATTATTTATATATAGTCAGTTTAATAGCGCTAGTTTTATCTTATGTTATATGATGATAATAATTTATTAATATAACTAAATTTGAATAATGTTAATTGAATCAATTGATTTTTTTAATCTGAAATTTTATTAATTTGCTCAGGTAGCTTTGATCAGGAAATTTCAATGAATTCATTGTTCCCTCCTAGATATTTACTTGTATAATGTCACTAATGTATTTTGAGAAAAAAAATGTGATTATTTAAACTTTCATGTCTTATCTGTTTAGATTTTTCCCATACAATATAATTATAGAGAACAGCACAACCTGTAAAGTTAATTTGAAATTATATTACATATAGATATCCAGAGACTTGTGAAAGATAGAGTAAATCTTCAAAAGTCAGTTCAGAGAACAAAAATTGAACAAACTAAAAATCCAATGCAGTATAACCCAAAAACAATTTTACACAAATTCTTTGGATTCATTGACGGTCTAACACAGATAAAAATGGAATGGTCATAAGTTTAGTATTATGTACATTTTGTACATTGATTATCCAGCCTGTTATTTTGCTCAAATAATTTTATTTGATTGGCTTTCATTGATGATCACATTTGCCTGTTAATGATGACAACATTAGCCTATTGTGTTTAGGAGGTGTAAAGTAAACCATAAAATTTAACCTTCAGACAAAACTTTTATTATTTGAAAGGCCTGAGCAGAATTAGCTGAAAGCTATTTACACTTGCAAACAAAATCATAATTACCATGGAGAAGCACAACACAGGATAGGATCTGGCCCCTTGTGATAAATTCCTCCTTCAAATGAGTTTTTCCTGATAAGCAGTGGCATTTGCTTTTATCCCATTTGGATAAAAGCAAATGCCACTGCTTATCAGGAAAAACTCATTTGAAGGGATTGGGATTCTAAGGCTATCAATGATCTTCCTGATTCATACAATCAAGAATGGGTATGTTTATTATGTACTATTGTACATTTAATAACATATATACATATTTTCTTCACTATTACATAGTATATATTTGTATTTGTTTTCTAAAAAAGTTTTTTTTTCTTTTAGACTTTTAAAGATCTTAAGACACTAGAATATACTTGTCATACAGCATTTTTTGTTTCCATTTGGGTGATAACTCCATGTGCAGACATCCATGAATGTTCCAAAAGACAGACATGACAAAATCAATACTTGTTGACTAATAAAATGTGATTTATCCTATTTTTATATCCCTTCTCTAACAGTCACTGCAATTTATGTTTAAAAATATTCATGTTGAGAGGACTAAATGCTCCAAATGTACTAGGTTAGGATTTTAGGGGAATGAGAAATTTCTAAGCCATTTGTCTCAACCCATTGGATGCTGAAAATGAAACATACCATGTGAGGCTGCTTATAATCATGCAGAAGAATTGTTTTTGTAATTCTCAACAGTGTTTCCTCAATTTTCTGGTATCAATTAGCATAATTTTTTTCTCCATGTTTAAAAAAAATCTATCATTAGGTCTCACTTGGTGTTTCCATGATACCAATGTCCACATTTTCCAGCTTTTAAAGTGACTTAATAAATCAGTTTTCTGACACTAATCATGCCTAAACTTGAAGATCCATGTTTTCTGAAGACAATTATGAATTTCAGATACTTAAATGTTCTCATTAAGAAGATATTTTGATTGACTACACAATGAAACAATGCCTCATAGTCAGCAATCTGTCTAATATCCCAGGTTCCCTTATAGAGTTAGATGTCAAATCTAGTTCAAAAGTTTGCCAAAAAAAAGAGAATAAAGACTGTATAAAGAAATTTTAAAATATTTCCATACATTTCTCAGTAAATTAAGGGTGATCATCAATGCTTATATAATCAGTTATTGTCTGATTTAACTGAAAAATTTCATTTCATAAGAATTACTAAAGTATTTGCAGATTTTGGTATGCAATGATGATTAAATTCAATAGTAACTATTTAGCTAAATGAAGTTTTTAAGAAGTTAATTAAAAGTATTTTTAAAAATCAATTGAGCCTTATTTACATTTATAAGTTAATTTAACATTAAAAATTTTAGTTTTATTAGTCTTATTGAATAAGAAATGTTTTAATTTTAGAAAATGTTAATAAAATATCACTAATAATAATGTTCTATAAAAGCAAATTGTTTTATTCTATAGTTATGGATAGATCAGGTAATTTGTCTTTTTAATCTGTTGCTAACCAAATAAGCCAGTTGAAAAATGTAGAATCAGTATTAATTTGAAACAATAGCAACTAGAGTTTATTTAGATGAAAGATGAGCATGAGGCTTTTAATAAAAATAATTATATAAATAAAATATGCACTTTCACTGCATGAATCAGATAACTTGCACATTCTATTTAATTACCTGAAGTAAAGTGCACTTGTTCTGTTATGTCTTATGTTTGTTCTCAAATTAAAAATTTGTATCAACAGGTTAATTTCAATGTCTTATGGACAAATTGGCATGATGCAAGCAGCAGCTGGATTCTTTGCTTACTTTGTGATAATGGGTGAGAATGGATTTTGGCCAAGCCGACTGTTAGGATTAAGGAAAGAATGGGATTCTAAGGCTATCAATGATCTTCCTGATTCATACAATCAAGAATGGGTATGTTTATTATGTACTATTGTACATTTAATAACATATATACATAATTTTCTTCACTATTACATAGTATATATTTGTATTTTTTTTTCTAAAAAAGTTTTTTTTTTCTTTTAGACTTTTAAAGATCGTAAGACACTAGAATATACTTGTCATACAGCATTTTTTGTTTCTATTGTAATTGTGCAATGGGCTGATTTAATTATTTGTAAAACAAGGAGGAATTCTGTTTTCCATCAAGGAATGAAGTAAATGAATGCCACATCCAAATACTTTATTTTTTAATAATTAAGTATTTAATATTAATATCATTCTCAAATATTTCAGGAATCATATTTTAAATTTTGGTCTTGTTTTTGAGACCGTATTGGCTGCATTCTTATCATACTGCCCAGGAATGGACAAAGGGCTTCGTATGTATCCACTAAAGTGAGTAAAACTTAAGTTTTTAGGATATTAAAATTATTTACTGTACTTTAAGTCAGAGTAGAATTGCTTTCATGTAAAATACCTGATTGGACATTATTAAAAATACAAAAGTTGTATACTGGTTTTGATAAGTGATTGAGTTTTGGCAAAACATCTGAAATTATTGGGCTACATGACTAATTTGATTAGAGGTAAATGGCTGAGGTTAAGCGAATAATTTTGGTAAGATTGTTTGGCTTTAATCAATTTTTAATTGATTAAAGCCAAACAATCTTTTTATCGTTTTGAGTTGTTTATATAGATTGGTGGTACTTTCTATTAAGATATATTTACACTGCACAATAGATTGAAAAGCTATTTTAACAAGGTAATCTGGTTATAACTTCATTTTTATGTAAATGTTAAGCATTAAGTTTTTTCTTTTGTTAGTGGATGTTCATGTTTAAACTGTTGTTTCAAACTGGTTATGTAGATGTAATTAATAAGATAATTCTGGAACAATTATTATTATTCCAAAGTAAATGTTAGATTGTGGAAGGTGTTGATATTCATAGTCACTTATGAAAATTGATTAACTTTGTAATAAAAATTAAAATGTGGCTTTCATAATTTCATAGCAATCAGTTGTATTAATATTTATTTAGCTACAGTTAATTTCAGAGTTATAAGCTATTGTTGCCTAAATGTAGAATTTTTTCTTCCTCCCTATAAATTTAGAATGAAATTATTTATTATGGACTAACTACAGTAATCAGCTATGAAGTTAAAAACTGCTAAACCAAATAAATTAACCTTTAAAGGTCATATAGAAAAAATTGCCAAATCTACTGCAATATGCTGGGGAATTTTATGGCTTTTTTTAGGCCAATATCCTCAAAAACTGTACTAAGATTTTTCTTTACAAACTTTCAGTCTTTAAATAACTATTGCTTATCAATCTGGGCAATGACTTTACCCTCTATACTAAACAAAATTATTAAGAAATAAACAAAGTACATTCTGAACAAATTTTGTCATCTACCATATACTAATAATGCCAAAATCACAAGTCAGACTGGGATTACCTGGTTTCAAAGAAAGGATCAAATACTTCAATCATATTTTAACTTATAAATATATCAATGGCATAATACTGAATTATTGGCTCAAATTGAAAGTTCCGTCCAGGAAAACTCTTATCACTATCATGTCTACATACTCCTTTTTATCGATTATTGCTATCTCATAGATTTTTTTTTATTTTCCATTGATTACATGTTCCCTGTTGAACATCACTTTCATCATGACTTTACAAAATACAAACATTTATGCCAATGATTTCTGTGTAATGTGTGATTTTGTTTTTTCCTTATCTCATTTTGCCTTCCCTCTTTGTTATTATTATTATTTTTTATATATTTCTACTCGAAATTGTGTCAAAGCAAGACGGTTGGTCATTGTTACGAGGAAGTAGGAAACGTAAAATATTCATGCTTCTTGNCTTCCCTCTTTGCTTTTTTTATTATTTTTTATATATTTCTTGTTATATAACTTTTATTGTATTTATTTTGTTGTTAATTTTAATTGTATTTTATTGTAATCTTGAGTAATTTTTGTTATATGGGGAGTGGAAATCTATTGTCCATTGACAGTTCCAATTAAATGTAAAATAAAATATAGCCCATAATTCTGAATTTATACTGAATTCCTATCAAATTATCTTAAGAGATTGTAGATTATATAAGTGGGCGCAGAGTTAAAAGCATATTGACCTAAAAGATCCATTGTGTATCTCACAAGAAATTACTTTAAAAGTCTGATTGTCTATAAAAGAAGATAAGATCGTTATGAAAAAGCTAAGAGATATCACCAACAATCAAAAAGGTAAAGCCAGATGAACAAGTTTATATGAGCAATGGTTTGTGTGCACACATGAAATGCAGAGGAGTCTCCTCAGCAGATCCTGCTGATCTTACAGAAGCAGCAAAAGGATGAGGAAAGTTTCATTTGGCACAAATATTTTGTAAAAGTGGCCAAAACTGATCACAATGCTGATCAATCAAGAAGTTAACATATTCTTGTTAAAAGGTAGAAAATCCTTCGTTTGCATAAAGAGCAAACTGGAAAAAAATGACATTCTGTTAATATCTACTATTTTAAATGACTGGAAATAGTCATCCTTGACAGCTCTAGAAATACAGTAGTGTCGTTTATTCAAATCAATTGGGGACTGGGGTTGTTCAGATAACCGATTATGTGCGAAAAAATATATTAACCTATCCCATGTTGAAATTTTTTTCTGTTGCGTGTTGCTTCGCGCTGAATTTTTGTCGATGTTAAGCCTAACATAAATTTTTATAATAATCGTGGTTATTGTATCGTTAAAAATTATTTCTTTATTTTGTACAAACAAAATAAATATATTGAAAAATATAAAAACAAAATTGGTTAATGTTACCTATGGTTACAAAATGGTGGCGCTTCGGTTAAGTTCATTTCTTTTCCGTTAGATTAGCCACATTTTTAGTAGACTTTTTTCATATTGTTCAAGAACTACCGTGAATAAATAACTAGTGTCATTTGACACTCGGTGGCCTGCCGGCGGCTCCCCTCTGGGAGGAGTCCGTCTGGACCACGAACAGTCGGAAGTGCGGCCATTTTGGAACCATAGATAACATTAACCAAAAAAATATATATACTTTAGAAGTTAATCTAGTATCAAGAATGTTTGATTCAGCATGACACATGTCCAGACACACAGTCCTCAGAAAAACACCAAACAAAAGTGCCAGTGTTGCCACGCTTTTGGTTGACCGGCTTTTGGATATTATTATTTTGTTAATGAATAATGCAAACAAAAATTAACCTTTAACTTCAGCAACATATTAAAAGTTTTTTGAACAATTTGACTGATTGTTTTCAGTTACAGAAACTTCAAAGAAAAGAACTAAAGATATATGTATTTTTAAATTACATATCTTAAAAATTATATATCTTGTTCTTTGGAGAACAAGATATATAATTTTGCTGGAATTATGAAGGTGGTTTTTTATTTGCATCAACATTTTTTTCTCTGGTTGTATTCTACATCTTTGGATATTAATGGACATATTTTTACATTTTCAAAGGTAAAAAAAAATTGTTTCTGTTTATACTAAAATTTGCCAAAGAAAATTCAGCTATTTTCTGCTGAACTTCAGTAGACCATTTCTGAAAAATCAATGTTCTGTGTGAAAAAGCTGATAGCATATTTCCAATTATTTTAAATTGGAAAAATTATAAAGCTTCAAAATCCATCATCTCTCAATCAATTTCCTAAATTGCAAGTAAAACACTTAGACCATCAGTAAAACAATTACCTATCATGTTAAGGTGTAAGATGTTAATTTAATATCAAACTTTAAAAGTCATAAATAAAATTCAAGAGAGAGTCCCTATTAATATTCTTTTAGAACAGTGTTTCTCAACCTTTTTTGGTTATGCCCCAGTAAAGCATCTTTAAAATCTTAATGTCCTCCCTGTGACAAAAAAACATGGCCTCTTTGAAAAAGAAAAGTAAAAGGAAAGGACAGTTCAAGTACTGAGTAAATAATCATGAAATTGTTTAATAATAACAATAACAATGAAGTGATATGAAAAAACAGCAAGTAAAGTTTCAGAATATATATAGGCTTATATATAGAACTGAAGTGAAAATGTAACAAATATTATTTATTTGCTCATTGCCCCCAAAACATTCAAATTGCCCCCTGGTGGGGAATGCCTGCCATGTTGAGAAACCCTTTTAGAATGTTCTGCAATGTCTGTCTGTATAGGTTGTAAATTATGTGAAATGTACTTTTTGGTCAAAATGTAAGGAGTATTATCAGATGTTATTACAAAATATATTAATTCAAATATGTACTTTAAACTATTATAATTTTAAGATAAAACTGAAAAACAGAATAAAAAAAATTGATTTCAAAAACAGTTATATGAATAGTTTTTAGTTGGATTTGTAGTAGTAGTAAAGCTTTGACCAAAGTAGTTTGTCAAAGTTGACTCAAGCATTTATTATTCTGTATATTTAATTATATTTTCTTCACAGTATTTGTTTATATATATATAATTGTTTAAAAATTATTTTTCAGATTTGTTTGGTGGCTTCCTGCAATACCTTTCTCCTTACTAATCTGGGTGTATGATGAAGTTAGAAGATTCATCTTGCGTCGTAATCCTGGTGGATGGATTGAGAGGGAAACATATTATTAAACTGCTCACATTTTTTACATCAGATGTCATTAAGATGAACTTTCCATATTTTTTCCCTCTTGTTTTTATATAACATTTGCATTTGTCTTGACTCTATCTTGGAAGTTTCTCATAGCAGTGTGTTCCGAAATTGCCGAAAATATTAATTCTACAATGTTCACTTCTGCCCATAGTGTGATTTAGAAAGGAATGTTGAAGTAAGCTGGAGGCTGCTAAAAAAACAAAAAAAATGCTAAATGTATTATTGTTGAAATAATGGGAATTTGGGATATATTGTGCCTACAACTTATTTGATATGCATTGTGGCCCTTCAAAGTCAGTGCAGAATGCAATACAGAACAATATTCTTAAAAATAACTGGTTCACAAATTTTTTTTTACTGTAACTGGTGTTGTCTCCATATTGTTTTCATGTTTCTGTCAATCATTTGCTTTGTTAGTACATCACTGGTTTCTAGCATTGTAAGATTTATATATATNTAATCAGAGTTTTTATTTTCGAAATTGTTGTTTTTTCCAAATTTCCAAACTTTAACACAAGATTTTACTACTTATGGCCCTTTCTAACCTTTACTGTTTTGATTTTTGAAAATTAATATATATTAAAAGAAAAATCAAAAAAAGAAAAGAAAAAAAAAACATTCCAAGATATATTTCAGGCAATTTTTCTCTTAGCAATATACAAATCTATCTATATCACAGATTTTCTGAGTACAAACCAGCCACTTTTTAAACAAAATTGGTGGGAGTTCCCGAATTACTGTCTGCCAACTGTTCAAATGTTAGAAATTTAGAGAACGCGAAATGCTCCACTACTGATCATATTTTGGAAAATTGTTTAAATTTTAGAAAGAAAATACAAAGTCTTTCTCAACTTCAAAAATTGTGATGCCTAAAAACACTTTCTGATCTCTTGTTAAAGCATTTTACAAGATGCACTTTGAAATTTTAAAAAAGTGATGTTATATTCTCATTACTTTACTTGAGCAGGCAAAATTTCAGAAAGAACTCTTGCATCACTAAGAACAATTTATTGAATGTTACACATACAGCATTATTAACAACATATTTCAGTTTTTAATAAAAATGACAACCAACATGTTCATTTGCAGATTTTCTTCTCTCTCCTTCAACCATAGTAATCAAGATTAAACAGCATTGTTCATCAGCAGACAATCTCGTACGTTTTCTTATCTGTTTCTAAAAAGAAATGAACAAATAGAAAAATATTGTATAAATTAATAACTAATTAAATATTTTAATATTTTACCATTCAATAATTTTGACACAATCAAGTTTTCCATTTCAGTTATTTGTATGTGAATTTGCTTTAATGGTTTTAGTTTGGAAAAAAAGTTTGGTTATAAAAATATTTTTGGCAAAATGATTTGTTAATAAGAATCAGATCTCAATTGTATGTAAATATCAGATGATTTGATGTCACTAAATTTATGGGATGAAATAAATCTGAATAATTACCTATTTGAGTTTCATGTTCTTTTATTTGTAAACATAGCATCTTAACTTTAGTTTTCAATACAGGCTACTTAGATCATATAATTTTTAAAATTGTTTCAAATGATAGCAATTTAAGGGTGTAAGTAAGAATTGAACATGCTTTATAAATTATATATTATTTTCAATTCTTTCAATTAATTTTTTATTGAAAATATCTAACAAATTATTTAATACATTACATTAATTTTCCAAAATATAAGAAAAATAACTTGTCCTATCGGTTTAGAAATTTTGTTTTACATGGATAGAAACTATCCATGTAAAACAAAATTATATAGGTAGAGAGTTTCTCTTTACCTATATAATTTTGAAGTTTTGATTACAGAAGATTTTATAAATATGCATATACAGTATGTGAACTCAGTCACAAAACAAGATAACTTAGCATTAAAATATACATTTTTTTATTTGAGCTATCTTTAGTGTTGCTTCAAAGTTTTTGAAGCCTATATTTTCATATTCTTTTAAAAATAATTTAAAAGTTCATTTTTTAATTTGTAAATAGTATTCAATTAAAACTAAAATTTTATATATATATATATATAGATTAATGATGTATTTATACTATTTCGTTACGAAATATGAGAAATAACCAAAGATTGATCTTTACATATTGAAATAGAAACATATTTTTAGTCAATTGTTTCAATTTCTGAAACAACTTAAGTTTGTAATAACGAAATACGTAACTACTAGTATATTAGATTAAGAGAAAGTTATATACTTGTATATTTTTTTTCTATTTGTCTTCCGTATGAAATCGCGGGGTGGCCGTCATTCAGCCGCAAGAATCGTCCATAAATTACGTAACGCTGTTTTACTTTCTAACTACCGTTCTATCACTTGTAACGCTGTTGTCTCCCCCAAAATTACGTAATGCATATCCGTTCAACCTCTCTAATTGCACTAAAGAATAATACAAAGCACAGGGTACTGCTTTATACATGTATAATGTATAAATCAGTGATACAAACAGTATGGTTTGTTACTTCAGAAACAAAAGGAATCATTCTGTTTCCCAAGAACATGCGTAACGTTTTTGTAAACCCCTGCCCATCTTAACAATTGCCTGCATATCCACCATTCTATATCTGCGTTACACTGTCCGTAATAATGTGTAGGTTTGAATTATTGACGTTAATGTTTGGCTCAAGCCTAGAAGTGCTTCTCTCTTAGAAACTTAAAAATTTCTATCGTGATATCATTAGGCCTGTAACATTAAATAATTATAGCATAGTTTGTTTTCCCCGTTAAATTGATCTTTTGTTGTTATAGTTATATTTAAAGAATTTTACATTTATCCTACTTGCCATTAAAGAAGTGAGCTTTCTGTATTTATTTGAATAAGCGGCTCAATGACCAACTATATATACATATATTTTAATGTTAAATTTTGCTTTGATTTTATTTTTTTTCTCAAATTATTCTATATACAGTATATATGTTACTATTATATATATATATATAGGATAATTTTTGACAAAAATATTAATTATATATAAATAATTTGAGAATTTTGAATCTGTTTATAATAATTTACATTCTGATATTCTTAAATAAGGAAGAAAAACTTTGTAAAATTTATAGTAAAAAGTAACAAATTTAATAAAATATTTTATTAAATTAAAAATATCTAATTGACCGCAATTAACAAGAAGCTATACAAGTGAAATGAAGTTGTAAACACTAGTATCTAGAAAAGTACGCATGTTAGAAAATTTTACCTTACTCTTATTTGGAATATTCTCTAATGCATCTAATATCAAACTATTATTAAAATGTTACAAGAATAATACTTTAAAAATTAAATTTTTTCACTTTGTTCTATACAATTATAACTCTAATTTGATTAGGAATTGTAAAAAAAAACTATACCGCATTTTTTCCTGAATTTTTTTTTATATCTAAAAGTTTCAGGAGAGGAATCTCATCCAAATGTTAAAATTAACTTGAACGTAGTTATTTACATAAATAATTTTTAAAAAGAATAAAATTGCATAGCAATTTAAATTTACAAAAAAAAAGAGGGGATCCATCAGTGGCCAAGCGGTCTTCGTACCCTGAACACTGGGAGTTCGGTCGTGGGTTCGCGCCTCGCCCGGCCACGTGGAGTTTTCCGGGTTTTCTCCACGTCTGTAATGCCTAAATAGGAGCCAGTTTCCTTTAAAAAAGACCTCCCGGAAGGCATCCTCTAGGGTCTAGGGGTGGCCAACAGTTTTTGCCCCCGGGCCGAATTGGAAAAACTTTTCACGGGCCGAACCAGAAACTGACCTAGGAAGATTTTGAGGTGGTGTGAGATCTCATTGCGGTGTCACCCGTAAATTGACTAAATTGTACAGTACATAGAGATTACAGATAGACTATATTTTTCACATTATCGTGCATTATCAACATTCTACGCTGTACTTAAGACATTTGTAATGGAGGGTTAACTGTAAGTACACAGTGAGTTGTTCATTTTTTTTTAGTAGCTAATATTGAAAGATTAATCGCGGGCCCCATAAATTCATTAGACGGGCCGTATGTTGGCCATGCCTACCCTAGGCAGATCGCCCAAGTGTTGCGTTGCCATAACTTAACAAAACAAACAAACATATAAAAAGATAATAGTAAAATTTATATGAATTGAATACAATTTATCGGCGCAAACTATTACACTAATCCTGTTTCAGAATAGATACCTAAAAGGTAAAATCTTTAGATAAAAAAATAGCAATATTTTATTTGTTCGGTAATTTAAAGAACTGTTGCTTAATGTAATGCGGATGGGGATATCTGAGTTGTATACGCGCAAGTCGAAAGATTGATCTCGTCTTTTATCCACTTTTGAGAAAAATTAGATTGTCCAAACTGCTTTCACGCATCACGAAGTATTTAGGTAGATTGTACTGTACAAAACAAAATCGGACTTCTCGGATCTTTTGTTAAAATAACTAATAAAGTAACTTGTTTTTAAATTTTCAAACGTCTATGGAAATACTACCGAACACAATAATGAACACTTCTATATAATATCGATTAAAACTAAAACAAGATAAAAATTGTGAAATTACACTAAAAATTCATATCGTGCATAAGTTTGGCCTAAACGTAGATGGTAATGAGTACGAAAAATATCCTTCGAATCAAACAATATCTAGAGATGATATTCTTTTGATGAAACATCAAATTTGGAGAATTAAAAATTAAAAAAAAAAAAAAAAAAAACACTTAAAGATATTAAGAAAATTTTATATTTGAGGTTAACACTTAAAGAATCACGAGTGAGTGATTGGATTTAGTTAGGACAGTCTTTGAATTAATGTGAGTTCTATTATTATAGTCCTTGTCGTTTATAATTGATTCTAAAGCAAAATATAAGGCACTCGAATTGCAGGATATGATTTTATAAGTTGTCTTTCGACAGATTTAATACTTTAATTATTTCACTTCATATTGTAATTTAATTCGAATGAGCTAACACTATATGGTAGTTAATTTTATTTCAAATAAAATCGCATATATTTTTTAAAACTTAAATAAGTTTGGGGATTTTATTTGATATTTGTATCTGTATCCCTCAATTTTTTCGATGTACACATCTAAAGATAAATATTTACAGGAGCTTTTCATTTTTATTGAAATAAGTTCAGTGTATATTTAATTAATAATACGAAATTGTTGTTCGGAAATCTTTGTTTATACTAATTTGTCTTCAAAAAAATTTTTTTACAGACAAACTATTTTTTTCATATTTTTCAGGTGATACTTCGTAGTTCTATTTTTACAAAATTCCATATCGTATAATAACCCTATATTTTATAATATAAATGTAAATCTAAAATATCTTAACAGAAAAATTGTAGTAACGCAGCTTTCCCTTTTACTACATTGTGTTCTGCAGTTTACTATTTTTTCAATCAAAAACTGTTATAGTTTAAAACTACGATATACAGGTTAACGATTTAATTAGTTGATCGGTAGTCCGCGCCTTGTATTCTTCTATTAAAAGGCATCACCAATTACTTCTACATCTTTTAAAGTCATTAAAAGTGATCTCTTTTCTAAAATTATTAAGAATTAACAAATTTTGATTAAATTTTGAAATTTAATGTGGACTTGCATATTAATATAATGTCATAGCAGTAAAACACAGCGCAACCAGACTAACCTCTGAAGACGTTCGGACTAAAGTGTTTGTAAATCCAGTTTTAATTTAGCGATAAAGAAAGGAGCGGGTCAACATGAGCGATGACATAATTTAGCTAAATGAGTCAAAGCAAATAGGCCGTAACGCATTGGTATGCAGGTGGTGGCTGGAGTAGAAATCCCTTGTTCGGAGACGTCGATCCATTCGTATCGATAGCCTTTCGTTTCTAGAGATATATTGCTGTAATTCAATTTGTGGCGATCTTCTGTTGATCCCCGGTGCAGTGCCTGGCCAGATGGGACCTCCCTCGAGAATGGTCGATACCCCTCCGGACCATTGATCAATGTCAGCTCTTGCCTTTAATGTCCACTTAAGTTGACGATTCGAAAAATAAAAATAAAAAAAAAAGTTGTCACCGACTGAGAGAAGTATTTCAGGATTCATCTTGTAATTGAAGCTTAATTTTAGAATACTTCCGCGTAAATTGATGGACTGGGTTTATCTTTTAAAAAATCCTACTTCAAATACACAAGATAGAATCTACGCATATATAAGTAGGCTGTGGTAATTATTGAAGTTGCTTAGGACAAAACTAATACATTTATTGAGAATAATGCCTAGAGAACTTAAACTGCCTAGGTCAAAAAATTTCCCTAATGTAACCACTTACAGATAGGTTCTGCCAAACGTTTAGCGGGTTAATTAATATACATATATTTGAATATTAGTGTAGAAAAAAATAGGCCGTAATGCTGCGAATTGTAGCAACTGAACAATATAACTTGTATAGAATTTGAACCATAAAGTTACATGGAGTAAGACTGTAATTAATTTGAAAGCAGCATAAGTTTTGGAGATTTTATTCAAAGGTTTCTTGAAAAGTGTTTCGATATAATTTCATTTCAAATTTTAGAGATTTGTTGGTGAAAGTAAGAGAGATTTGGAATTTTGTCAATTAAAAATTGCCAACATTCTCAGATTTAATGAAAATATTTGCATTAAATCTTTAATAGTTTAATAATTTGCTTGCAATTCTCTTTTAAACAATTTCGATTAAAACTTCTCTAAAATTTTAGTTTTAAATATTCATACTTAAATGAATTATGTAAATTTTAATTAAATACGTTATTTAAAAAAAGGGTTATAAAGATATAATTTTTATTTCTTACGTGACTTTCCTGAAACTTTAAACAGTTTTATTTCTAAAAAGCTTCTCTTTTAAACATAGGACTTTTAGCAAACTTTCTAAAAATTCATTTATTATTATTATTATTTCCTTTTGTCTTTATTCAAAAAATTATTGAAATAATAATATAATTGGTAATCTTTTTAAGATTTGAAAATAGTGTTTTTCTTTTAAAACCTATTCTGAATGGCCATCAATATTCTGGCTTCCAAACAAATATTTTTTTCCAGAAACGCTTTTCCTAAACAGTTCTTCATACTAGATTTTTTTTTATTCGTGAAAGTTACGAATTAACGAATCGAAACCACATTTTATTATAATACTTATAAAATATCAATGACATAAACATTCCAATCATGTATATCTCGTAAAGAAGAGCTATTACATTCCTAAAAATTCCTAAAAATCTTTATCAAAAACAAAACAATCCTGACTATTTTCATAACCACATCACTGACGGAAAACAAAGAATCAAAAAGTACTAAACTAATTTCCAACATTTTTATTTTCTTTCCGGAATAAAGGAACAGCGTAAATATTAAAATAGTATCCGGCACGTAACTTATTCTTAACAAAAACTTGAAGAAGATCTTTAGTCCAAAGAAAAAAAAAAAAAATGAAGTGTAGGCGTTCCGACCGAGGAGCATGTGTTCATGTAACAACATTGTTGAAGCAAAGCAATGAGAGGTTGGAACGCCAGCTGCGACTCACCAAACTTAAAAAAAAAAGTACATATAAAGGCAATACAGCGGCTAAGAATTGCATTTTTGCCAGAATTCTTTCAGAATAAATCTGATTTATAGTTATTAATATAACAAACAGATACCGACTCGTCATTATAATATCTATTTAATTAATTGTATACAGTACTTACATTTACAAATTGGATTCTGTCCGTTCGATGCTGTTTTTATATCTTCTTAACTTAAAAGGTGGAGTAACTTCAAAGGAAGAAACCTTATGGCCTTAATTTGTTTTATTTATTTCTTTTTTTTTACGGATAACAATTATACGTGATTCGTATGGCCATAGAACATTTTGATGCATTGCGTTATGTATACGTGTATACAATAGAAAATAAAGTCATTTTTCTTCCCGAAACGTAAATTTTTGAGCGTGTATATATGTATATACACCTGCGTGTATGTATATACACTGTATATATATATATATATACATGTATATGTACATACTTTCTGTAATTAGTTTACGGCGTCAAACGTCCAGAACATCGTTCAAATAAGCGATGTAACAGATGGCTAAACGTAGAATCTCAATTTTGGAGAGTTTCTTATCGGGTGGTAGAGTGGGCAGTAGCCTACGAAGTTCGGCAAAAGCTATGTTAAAGGCTTCTACTCGTATCCTTTCCCTAGTTGCGTGTGCTAGGCGATATTTTTGCGTCGCTCTTCTCCTCCTCCTCCTCTCTTCTCTACTGAGATGCCCTAGAGATTCTCTGGATCGTCGGCCGTTTCCCGAATCTCCTGAATCTCCCGTTTGTCCCGGAACCACTTCTTGAAGGATATGGATTCCGTTTGTCTGGCCGTCCATGCTGTTGTCTGCTGGAAGATGTTCTACCGGATAAGAATACATGGATCTCTATAAAAATGATAACAGATGATTTAGTAATCGCTAACGAAAACAAAGATCCTCCGCGATGTTTAAGAACTATGCCTACGTATTAATCAAACTGTTTTTTTTTAAATCGAATTTTGCACAATGATTGGAAAACGTTACGCTAAAATTCTTTTTATCGTTTATGTAACGATATATAATAATTATAATCAGATATTTATTCATTTGAGAGAAGATTTTAATCATTTCATTTCAATCACGTGATCTAAAATTTAATGTAATTTATACAAAGTTAATGTTAAAAGTTTTTCTATTTAAAAATTAACAATGATTATTTTATGAGAATATTATCAATAATTTAATGAAAGTTGCTTTTCAATTATTAATTTATGTATACAGAAATATAAAAACAGACGAACTAGATAATCTGCACGCGCTACATCGTAAGAAATTACGTAAGTCGTGAAGTCGTCTGCTAGTAAATTTGCATTTAACGCGGTAAGTTAATTTTTCAAATTATATCTAATATTATAATATATTTTTATGCTTAATGTTATTAAGAATTAAACTGTCCTACTGTAAAAAGTGCAGAATTTAATTTTATTTGAGAAATATCTAAAAGTAAAATGTCGAATAGGCCTAAGGGTGCGACTATGCAGGCGCGAATTTAGTAGCGAGCGATATAGTTCTCGCAAAGGAAACCCATGCACGAGCGAGAAGCGAGAAATATCGTTGGCGAGAGCGAATTTCTGGTTCTCGCACATATCTGACAGGGTTTGATATTTGTCTCGTCTCGCCTCTTCTCGCCACATATTCACGCTCATTCGCATCTGCATAGTCGTACCCTAAGAAATGGAACGCTTGGATCGAAATATTTACAGATGCGAATTTAAGAATATAAAATAGTAAAGAATATATATGTAAACATCATCATCATTATTTATTTACCTAACCACCTAAAAGGGGGTTTTTGGACTAATATACAAATTATGTCCTTCTAATCCGACTGTTTACCGGAGTTCAAGAATTACTCAGAAGCAATTTTAATTTCTAGATGTTTTATTTAGCCTATATGCATTTCGAATCTAACGTTATCGCCGATAACTTCTCAGTAATATTTATGCAAATATTTTACAGTAGATATCGTCTATGACAGACCACGCCAAGTATTCGTAACCATCTAAAAATTCTAATAAACTAGGTTTAGTAGAATTTTGAGTAATTCTTGAACTCCAGTAAACATTCGAATTAGAAGGACTTAACAATTTGCTTATCAGTCCAAAAACCCCCTTTTAAGTGATTAGATAAATAACTGATTAAGCCGGCTAATATTGCTAAATTTATCTGATTAATCACCATTCTTTGCAGGTTCTTAGGCCAATCGGCCTGTTCTTGCTACTTTTTCTTTGACGTCCTTTCTATTTTCTTTTTACTGGATTATCATCCAGTAAAAAGAAAATTCTTTGGAATTCTGTTTCTGTTTATTCTTTTAACGATAAAAATAGATAATTTTATATATATAAAGAATAAAAGAGGGCATGGGTACGGGTAATGACTTTTTGGAAAGACAGGTTAAGAAAGTTTTTTCTCTGGTCGTAAAATGGTTGCTGTGTAATGATTTTAATCTTCTAATAATTAGATTATGAAAAGATCAAAAACTCTATATTATCACTGAATTAGGCCATTAACACTGAAATTTAGAATAAAATGACGTAAATTTATGAATTAGAAAAAGGTTCGTATTATATTATAAAATTCTGTATAATTTATTTGTTGAATTTTATAATTGAGTTGAATTTTTCACGCGACGTTCTATCGAACAATATAAAATTATCGCTTCAATTTTGTTCATTGTGGACGAATTTGATCACAATAGGATCGATCAATATTGATGACGTTCTTAATCCTATTCTCTGACGAAATACCTAGGAAAATCATTAGGAATCATAAAAGGTTTGTTACCGCTTATAATACTGTGTTAAAATCCAATGAAAATCAGTTTTAAACAAGTGAGAAAGATGTGACTAAATAATAATTAATTAAACTGAATGAAAAATGTTTCGATAAACAATAGAAAAAATAAATAATCTAAAATAAAATGCGATATTATTTGTGAAAACAAAAAGTGCACTCAAATCCGATTCCAATGAAATGCTTGAAACAGAAACAATTGCTTTTTAACTAGGCCAAATTTTACAAGGATGAATTCTACTGTAAATTAGATCACAGGAAAATGCTCAAATATATAAAAATTTCTTACCGAAAAGTAAAGACTATAACTTGCGATGTGCTTCGTATCGTAAGCCACAATTTTTAATTTTGTTAAAGTCGCTATTACGAAGCAACTTATCGCTTTATAATTCTCCATAGCCTATAATGCTTTTGTAAAAATTCATTCAATGGTTACAAAATTAACTTATTAACTGTGTATATGTGTATTCAAGTTAATATAAATCATAAAATTTTAATTTTTAAGATACAATAGATGAATTTTTGCATTTTAAAATTTGGAGGAGGAAAAGACCAAAACTGTCTGATAGTATATAGCCTGTAGATACATTCTATACGTTTAAATATTAATATAATCTCATTATTAAAAATACAGGCTATATATGTTAATACAACTCTATATTTACTTTCTCTTTCCTAAAATTCGTATATTCATCATTTTTACCGGTTAATCCATATCAAAAAAATATTATTCGTTGGTATAGGCTAAAGCTGGTAAGAGAAATGTTAAAAGATAAACAATTATCAGATAACAACATAATATCTCCCGAATTTGAATGTAGATAATACTTATTTGGTAAAACTAATAACAGACAAAAGAAAATACAAAGTATTTTTCATTTAATATGGAAAGGTTAAAGTTTATTTTACAAATTTAAAAGAATAAAATTCGCATAGGCCTGTGAAATAAATGATCAATATTCTACAATTGGAATATTCATAAGATTCTTGAATTTATCTTTTCAATCTAATTCATATGTATCCGTGTAAAAAATCTACACTGAGCCTATTTAAGTCTAAATTATGAATCGCAACAAATTTTGATTTTTTTTATTACAGTTTACATTTTAATTAAAAATTTATTCTAAATTGAATGATTTTATATAATTATAATTTAAATTCACTGTAAATAATATATTCAAGAAATAATTAATCAATGTTATACAATTAAAAATGCAAAATAAACTTTCATATGGTTTATATAAGGTAATTTGGGGAATATGCCGCTATACTCGTAACTTGTTCATCAGCCAACAAAGGTGACCGTAACTCGTAAGTGTGCCTTGTAAGATATATAAATTTATTTTAATTTATCGTCATTTATCCGTGGAATCTTCCGATTTATGCTCGTCGTTGCTGGTGAATAAACATGTTATAATATTTTTTTTCCTTGTAATGAATATTGTTGATCCTGTGTTTAATGTAAGCCGAAATATTATTGGGAATTACATGGCTTGGCTAACAAAGGGTGGATGAGACCTGTTTCTAAAGAGTCAATTTCAGGAGTAAACTACAGTAATATTTTTTCTGGCGTTTGGAGTACGAGTCCACATTATATTCGGCGTAAATGCTATTAGATTGAATGCATTGTATGTAAAAAATGGTCTCATGAAGTTTGTGGATCTAGCGATGATTACTGCAAAAAGTACACATAAATACAATGATAGAAAGTTTAATAAAACGCTATAAAATATGCTTATAATAATTGTCATGACGTCGGCAAGCTCGGTATTAATTAATGTACAGAACATTGTATAATATTTCGAAAATATCCTTTATTGTTGACTTCTTGATATTTCATTCAAATAACAGGAAATTTCAGTGCTTACTACCTTACTAGTAAAGATCTGACGTTTTCCAATGAAACACAGTTAAATGTCTCATAATTATCTTGTAAAATTTTCGAAGATTAATGACGAGTAGTTTTCCTCAACTTACAAAATTAAAATTTTAAAAATTATATAGGCCTATATAATTTGATTAGTATGAAAGTTTTAAGGAAAAATTCACACTATTACAAAAAAATCTTCAGTATTGTGTATATTTACAGTATATATAAAAATATGTTTCAAAAATAAAATTTCGTAATCATATTATGAATAACAATATTTATCTATTTTTAACTACTTTTTTAAGATAGAATTTCTAATATTTATATATATTAAATTTTCGAAGGCATAATCTACTCCTTTTTTTCTGAAGATTTAGATAGATTTTATTCTCTGATCGCAAAAACAATGATGATAATTTTCTCAAACTAGTTGAATAATAATAGTTTGAAGAAAGCAAAGCATTCTTCAAACTATTAACTTTTATGGAAATTTGTATGTTAAAGTTAAATGCATCAAGAATCTGTAAAATTTCTGTAAATTTTGCATGATACGCTTATCTATTGATCTTGCTTATTAGTCTAATAGACCTAATTTTAAGGACTAACCAATGTGGTCAATTTCCGGCAATCCCGATGCTTACTCCATAAGCTATTATTGAGTTCATTAGATTATATCGATTTTTTAAAATTAAATATGCAAAATGTTTTAGACTATCGAATTTTATAATTAAAAATTAAGAATAACTTGATTTCTACTATTATATTAAACAGTTTATTTTGAATGTAATTTTTAATAGTTTGTTTTCTGAAATGCTATAACTGCTACTTAGTAGTCTACATTGCTTGCCTTTTCTTTCTGATTTTGTCTGTCATTTATCCTAATTTGTTTGTGGCGAAGCCTAAAACATTTACAAAATCTACTATTTTATTACTCAACGTAAATATCTGCAATTAATTGATCTCTCCTCTTTTATTTTGTAGTTCTACAAAGGTTAGCCTGTAGCAAGATTTTATGTGACTCTTGTGATGCGAACAAAAAAAAAAAAAGAAAGAAAAAATATAAACTAGTAAAAATATTTTTAGAGAAAATGCAGATTAAATTAGGAAATTCAACAATTATGGTTTGAATTCGAAAATAAATCCTTAAAATAAAACGAATGGTAGACCATTCGTTTTAAGGATTATACCGAACTAGTAAGTTATGTGCGTTAAGACAGATCAAGCATCTATAATTTCGATTCAGTTACGAATTTACTAAACGGATTTTATAAAGGCCTATAACAATAACTTAGGTTTTTACACCTTAATATCACTCATTGATAATAAAAATATTGACAATTATATGTTAAGAATTAAAATCTTTAATAAATTAAACAAAAATATTTATTAATATAAAGTTAAATTTTTCTAAAAAGTATAATTAAATAAATAAAAATTAAACTAGATTAAGTGCAACAACTTATTTGAATAGTCTAATGTAATCAGGACCGGATTTACTTGTGCACGTAAGGCCGCGTGATAAACAAGCTACGGCTTACGGCCTCACGTTACGAATTTTGTAGCTTAGGATCTAGCATTTTTACATATATTATTATTTGGTCAAAAAGAAAGGGCCACAACAAGTCTAAATCCAGCCCGAACTATAATAAAGGAATATCCCTTCATTCTTATTAAAATCCACTTTTTTCTTTATTTTTATAATATGTGTTAGTATTAGCTATCTGAGATATGCAAAGTTATAATCGCTAAAATTTTGCCTTTTTATTTGGAAACTTGATTCTTACTTTTTTCAGTTCTAATTTACAATAATAATTTCCAGTATGTTTCCAGTAATAATTTTAGATTGAATTATATAGAATAAGCTAATCTACTACCTATTTGATTTTCAATTCATATTGCCTTTCCTATATAATTCGAAGAAGCACAAGGCCTATATAACAACACTTGATAAACATCTTGAAAAACGTGTAGTGTAAAAGCGAATTTTAAACATTAATACTGTATTACAAGTATTCGGCGTAAATAAGCAAAAACATTATAGCTATAAAGTAATATTTCAACTTTAAGATAGCCTGTAGATACATTCTATACGTTTAAATATTAATATAATCTCATTATTAAAAATACAGNTTAGCCTAAGTTTAGAATTTCATTATGTTAACTATCGCAATAAAAATGTATTAGTAAAATTTATAAGAAAATTTGACATCATTAATTTATTAAATATATTTTAAAATTATTCAAAATAAAATAATTGTGTTTTTCGAAAAATTTCATTTATCTATAATTATAACTTCTTATGTTTAATATAAGCCTGTTTTTCAATTTATATATTTTATTTTCTTTAATTGAATTCCTAATATATTAAGTGTCAATAAACGATATAAATTGCATACATTTTCTTTTATAAAATTATAAATATATCTGTTAAGTCCTATGTATTTTTATAAAATTTTATTTATTATTCGTTATATAATTTAATATATAATAAATATTTAATTATTTGACTGTTTTATGTCGTGAATTACTTAATTAATTGATCATTATTCAAATGATCAATTAATAAGTAACTCGGAAAAAGCATAGAATAATACAATTTTTGAAACGATATTCTATCACTTTAAATTTTTCCTTTCAAAATTATTTCAAACATTTGAAATTTTAACTGAATTTACAGATAAAATAAATTTATTTTAAATAATAATAAAAGTAACATTTTATATTTACATAAAACATAAAATGTGAAGTTTTACATATCATCACAGGCCTAAATAAAATAACTACTGTATGATGATTCTATCACTAGAGAATAGATACGATAGAGTAATAGGAAATTTGAAATTTGTTTGCATGTTTCTTTCTCCGGAATATTAAAACATATTGTACTTATAAAATTTTATATATTTGACCTCTTAAAATGCAAATAAGAATTTACATTTAAAAAAAAAAGGAATGGCAACGAGAAAAATTTTGGAAATAAATTAAATAGTATATTTGAATTCTATAATCATAATTTATTTTAATAAATGAACAATAAAACATATCAAATAACTCATTTAATCCTATACAGCATTTAATAAATAATTCCTTTAAAAAAGAAAATAAACGTAAC